AAAAAGAAACGAATGATGACAACACAAGGTATCTCCAACCAATCATCATGCAACATTGAATCACATCTATCCAAACTTGATTTTGCTGCAAAATTCAAGCTATGGGATAGACTTCCCTAAAAACATTTCATGCCATGTTGCTAGATTATCTTGGTTATCTCTACCTTGAAGCCATGCTCAATTTGCTAAATAACAACCATGCTCTTTCATCTCTATTTGAATAAATATCTATAACGTTTTTATGTTACCTTTGTTTGCTATAATATGCTTAAGGTTTAGAGTATGTGCATACATCTTTAAAATTAAGCATGGTGCTTAGTTTAAGGATGCTAATCTTACTTCTAAAGGCTTTTTGAATTAAGCGTGGTGGTTAGGTTAAAATACTTTCCTAGATTAAATTAGACATGGTGTCTAGTTTAATTTTTGAACCAAAAATGTGCTTTAGTAGATACTGGATATTTTATTGGACTAACCCCTATAGGAAACTCTCAATTTAATTTGGGTAAGTCACGAGATGAATTCAAATAAGAGATGAAGCAAGGCACATGATGAACTCCAATAACTTTGCGCAAAAAAGACACAGCTCATTCAACATGAATGGAAGAACTCCATGAAACAAAGAGAAAGATGATGAGTGTTATAAAACACGATCTACAATCAAAGTACTCACTCATAGAAAGTGAATGAACAAATCAACAGGTCCAACAAAATATCAAAGATCAAAGAGCAAAAAGAAAAATGGTGTCATCATGCTCTAATGACAAAGGTAACATCCTAAGATAAATGGTTATTATTAAAAAAAATCTAGATTCTGGTAGGCACATAAATAAGAAACAAACATGTTCAAGTTACAACTTATTTGATCCAACCTGTTTAGCTCTTTAAACTTATTTCTAACACCACTTTCTTTCTTGATCACATAGTCTTAACCAAATCTCTACAAGCTAAAAATTTTACAGACTAATCGTTCACCAGGCAGATGAAAAACTGCCGTGATCGTTCACTCACCCGGCAGATGACGCGCGTGATTAAAAATTAACCCGGCAGGCGTGGGGAGTCTCCGCACAGTCTGCCACCAATCACGTGGCGCTCGCGCGCACGATCCCCTATGGTGGAACCGCCAATCACGCTCCCGCTCGCTCGCTTCCCCCAGCGCACGCTCCCCCGGACAAAGCCTCATCCCGCCGTGGTGGAACCGCCAGTCACGCTCCCGCTCGCTCGCTTCCTCCAGCGCACGCGCGGCATGCTCCCCCGGACAAACAGCCTGTTTGGCATGGCTCCAGAGCCGAACTCCACCCCAGAGTCAGGTGGAGCTAGCCAAACACCCCAACTTCAAAAAATATTGGAGCAGCCCAACTCCATGGAGTTTTTGGAGCCCCAGTACAAATTTGTGGAGCACCTCTTCTCCTGCTCTGAAACCGGCCAAAACAGAGGTAGACATGGAGTTGGGGTGAAATTACCCGCAATTGCCACTGGTTACACAAGTGAATCGTTATTTTTTCTATTCTCCCTGCCCCGACCCCTTCCCCTTCATGCGAGCGCCTACTCCCCCAACCCGACGCCCTTCACGTGAGCGCCCACTCGCCGCCGTCCGCTTCTAGGGGACGAGCAGGCCGGGCGGCGCCGCCCCCCCTCTCTCCGCCTCTCTCCCCCGCCCCCTCCCTCCATCCCCCACCGGCGGCCGGTGAAGGAGAAGACAAGGAGAAGGTCATCCTCAACCCTAACCCTAGAGAAGGGGAAGAAGGGCGCCTCTCCACCCACCGGCGGCCAGTGAAGGAGAACAAGGGCGACGTGAAGGCACCCCCGACGCTCCCCCAACCTTGCAAGGTATCCCCATCCCCATCCCCATCCCCATCTCTATGCTGTGTGTTTTTTTAAGAATAGTGAGTTCATGGTTTTGGAGAACATGATGTGTAGAATTGTCCTGTGCTAGGTCATGTTCTGAATTGTTGTGTTGAGTTGGTATAGATGTCGGAAATTGTTTGGAACGTAGAGAACCTTCGGATCCTTTGTGGTTTGATGGCTGAGCAAGTCGAGAAAGGAAACCGGCCAAATACTTTCTTGAATTCAGTGGGCTATGCTGAGGTTGAGAAAGGATTCAAAGATCGGACGGGTATTGTATTGACCAAGAACCAAATCAAGAACAAGTGGGACAAACTGAAGGAAGATTTCAAGGCATGGAAAAAGCTAACAATGGGGCAAACAGGAATTGGTTGGAATAATGGCACTATTAATATGGATGATGAATGGTGGAACAAAGCTAAAGCTGTAAGTGCTTATTTTATGAATATCACCTACTTCTTAAATTAATTGATGGTGGAAGAAAGCTAGAGCTATAAGTATTTGTTCTAATATGTGTTGCTATTTTGCATATTTTCGGTCTATTCCAGTGTGGGAAATTTAAGAAGCGACCACTTCAAAATGAAGAAGAGTTAGCAATTTGTTTCCAAGGCATTGTGAATGTTGGTTACGATCATTGGAACCCTTGTGGTAACACTCCACAAATGGTCGTGGATGATGTTGTTCGTGTGGATGATGAAGTTGATATACTAGGTGCGACACAAGAAGAGGATTTAGATGAGATTACCCCTTCCCTAGTAGTGGCAAGAGACCAAGCAAGGCCTTTCCATGTTACACGGGCAAGAAGCCTAAGATGTACCAATGCAATCCTCATTCAAGAAGCATGCACTAGTATGGCTAGTTCAAGCAAGTGCATATTTGCCAAGAAAGAAGGAAAATTCACTATTGAAGAAGTGATGAAGGCAGTAATTGAATGTGGTGCTGCGTATGGATCCGATGAACACTACATTGCCACTTCATTGCTTGTTAAGAGGGAGCAAAGGGAGATGTTCATGACCTTACCTACTAATGAAATTAAGAAGAATTGGCTCACTAGAAAATATAATGACAGGCTTGCAAAGTAGGAGTGCTTGTCTCATGTATCCTTTGCTACCTTGATGTGTCGTTTGCTACATTGCTTTGTTTTAAGGCTTGTAATAATTTAGATTATTCCATGTTTGACAATTATTTTTAAGGCTTGTTTTAAGGCTTGTCGTATGAATGAACTCAGATTGTATTATTCTATTTTTTTTCCTTGTTTCACAATTATTTGTCCATCAGCTTGTCACATGGTTGACCTTATTTTTTCTATAATTTGACCTAGGGTTCACAGATGTCTTCCAGTGAAAGTGGTGACAGTAGTGATGATGACGATCAATTTTTTTCTCTCATTCAAGGTGGTGCAAATCTTGCTAAGGCTTATGTGAGCCTTTATATGGACAAGGCACCACCAAGGATATCATAGCTGAGTGGAATGGGATGGGTGACTGAGACCCTAAACACTCCAGGAGAATGCCACATAATGTTTCGGATGAATGAACGCATCTTTCTGGATCTTCATGATAAGTTGACTACTCGTTATGGTTTGCAACCATCCAAGTTCATAAATACTTATGAATCACTAGCAATATTTTTATTTATATGTGGTGGCTGTGAGACAAATAGAAAAGGGCAAAATAGGTTCAAGCATTCTGGTGAAACCATTAGTAAGAAATTTCATGAAGTTCTTGATTGTATGATTGCAATGGCTAAGGATTACATAAGACCAATTGATCCCAATTTTCGGTCAGTTCACAAGAGAATTAGAAATGACAAAAGAGCATGGCCACATTTCAAGGATTGCATAGGAGCACTAGATGGAACTCATATTCTAGTGTCTCTTTCACCTGAGGAACAAGTTAGATACATTAGAAAGTCAAGAGTTCCTACTTAAAATGTGCTTGCCATTTGTGATTTTGATATGCGTTTCACATATGTGTCTGCGGGGCAACCGGGGGCTTATCATGACACAAGTGTACTGTACCATGCAATGGAAGTGGATAAGCAAGCCTTCCCGCATCCTCCTGAAGGTAAAAAAATAACTTACATTTTGCATGGTCAATTATAACTCGAATTCTTATGCTATTTTTTTCATATCCGCAGACAAATACTATGCTGTGGACGCGGGCTATCCTAATCGTCTAGGTTACTTATCTCCATACAAGGGTGAAAGATATCATTTACCAGAGTGGCATCGAGGTATGGAACCAAATACTCCAACATAAAAGTTCAATCGGATTCATTCATCTGTTCGTAATGTGATTGAACGTTCATTTGGACTATTAAAGATGAAATGGCCAATTCTTTATAAGATGCCCCATTTTTCCATGCTAACACAAAAGAAGGTTGTAGTTGCATGCATGGTTGTCCATAATTTCATACGTGAGCATGCTAGTGGGGATGTGGACTTTGCTAGATTTGATCGAGATCCGAACTTTGTGCCAACTATCTCGGAAAGGTACAACAAGTATGTTGTGTCTCGCCATGCCTCTGATACGTCTACTAATGAAGCAAGCTTTGTGACCATGGACACATTTTGTGATAGTTTGGCTACATCCATCGTATTAGCTTGGAATTAATGTAATCATGTTCTTAAACTTTATATCTTGGATTATTTGGTTGGACGTGTATGTCGGATTATTTGATTTCATGGATTATTCGGATTATCTAAGAAATATTTGGATTATCTAAGAATTATTATTTCAGATTATCTTATATGTTGTTGGAATTTATTTTATACCTTGATTTGTGCTAGTAGTAGTACAAGTACGAGATGTCCTTGTGCAAACGAATAAGTTGCTCGGATCAGTACGTTGTGCAAGGGCAAAATGGACAAATAACACTGTCTAAACACAACTCTAGAGCTCAAAGTACTAGTTTAGCTAAATACTTCTTCCAGACAGCTCTAACTCCACTCAGAGCCAGCTCCAGCTAAATTTATGGAGTGGAGCTGATCTGTGTGGAGTTGGAGTTGGAGTTGGAGCCACGCCGCCCAAAACCTCCCTCCCTCGCGAGATCCTGCCCAATCCCGTGCAAAACCACCTCGGCGACTCCTCACGACTCCGAGCGTCAGCGCGGGCAGCGAGGGCAAGGCGGCGCGGCTCTTCCTCACCACAATAGCGATGGCGGCGAGGTGCGACAGCTGCCGGCATCTGGAGAAGGCGGGCTCCGTCTGCCCCGCGAGGCCACCTTCCGGCAGAGCGGCGTCGCGGAGGCAGAGGCGGCACGGCATCCCCACGACAGAGGCAGCAAGGGCAAGCGTCGCGGCTCTTCTCACGTCTCCGACCGACGCATCAGCGGCGCGCGGCACAACGAGGGCAAGGCGGAGCGGCGAGGGCAGCACGGGGCACGGTCGCGGCTCCTCTACCGGCGGCGCTCGGCCCTCTTTCCCTGCTAGCGGCACTCATCACCTCGCCATAGCAGCGGCGCTCGGCCCCATCCACCGGCCGGCCGGCGGCAGCGCACAACGACCTACAGAGCACCGCAACCAACCTTCTCTCCAGTTCGGATCTGAACCAGGTGAGTCCCTTTCTTCTGGGAACTCCGGCGAGCAGATACTGCACTTCTCATTGCTACTGCTTGCCATCTCTACGGTGGTTTATGCACACGGTGCTTCAATCCATAGTTTTATAGTGTGATTCTGAACATGGTGTTATTCTGACAACTCAATGACTCTGAACATTTTCTTTGTGAGCACTTATGTGTTGTTTTCTTACTTTCGTAGTAATTTGAACTACTTGGAGGGAATAGTCTGCACTGTTTTTACCCAGAAAAGCTAATTGGACATTTGGACTCTGTGTCTCTGTACATACCCAGACACGTTTATTCACAGCCCTCTATCAAACAGTTCTCTATTTGGACTGGCAATTCCTCTGTTTGAAGCCATGTTGTGCGCTGGACTCTATGTTTGTAGCAATAAGATACTATTAAAGATCAAGCCTGGAAAACTGATTGCGAGAAAAGAAAATGTTTTTTTCTAAGTTGTGACATAATTGATGCGGCCGCTGATTCGATTATCAGCATGATCAGTGTTCTTCCTTCTGTCTTTGAGGCATTCACAGACAGGAAACACGGCAGAGATGGATCTGGGGTCGAGAGCAGCGGCAAGTCCAGAGTCCGGACACACACGAAAGGTGCCACATTAATCTGCATTTGACTTCGTTACCGGGGAAAAAAACAGAGAACCTACAATTGTGGTGATTAATGACCACAAAGTAAGTATTTGTTCATTGGCCAAATTGCAATAGTTTAATCAGTTGTTCTATTGTCACTATGTGTCACTGGCCTAGGAATGGAACCATTAGATCGCCGTTAGCTGTTGGATCAAAAACTATCAGTCCAGATTGAAATACCCCTTCATTTGTGTTAATGACCTTAGCCTCTTTTATCTTTTTGTAAAAAAGTTTTTGTAAGGTTTCTTAGATATCTAAAATAGTAACAAGTTAGTACATGAATGATTTGTGCATGATCCTACAATTTTGGATCCAAACTTCCATAAAACAACTACTTTGTCTTGCAGGTGATGCTTCAAAAGTTAGCAGAGCACCAAAGGGCCACATTCCTCGTTCTCTGACTGTTCGTTCAGATAAGAGGAGAGCTGACTACAAAAGTAATCAGAGCTGTATGTTGCTCGCCTTGTGCTCGTCCTCCCTGTGATGTTTTCTTTCCTCTATACTGTTGCCTGCTTTGTCTGATCTGGGCCCTGTCTGATAAATGACAAAATATGTCCCCTTTTTTTTTGGTGCAATAGCATCTTGAGGTAGGGGGAAAGGATGATACATGAGGAATTTGAGATCTCTTGATCTGGAATCTGTGTTCTTGGTGTCTGGTTGGTTTGCTTCGTGTTCTTGAAATTCATAGTGGGGACAAACAAGGGAAGTTTTTTACTGAACCTTTATTTGATTATTAGGAGATTTGGGATCTTCGATTTGATCTCGTTAGGGTCTTTGACTGAACTAAGTTTGCTTTCATGCATAAAGTGGGCACATAGTTTATTATATTTTCACAAATTAATAATCCATTGGGGAGCAACTAATAAACTTAGTTCAGCAACCTGGCACATAGTTTCTATTTTTGATCAGGAGGGAGTAAGCAAAACATGCAGGCATACTGAATAATATTCAGTGATCTGGCTCCTTTCTTATTGACAAAGAATGATTTATCCTCTTGATTTACTCTGTCTTCATTTTAGCTTGCGATGACATATCCCGGAGGTAGCTCTCTAATACTCCTTGAGCCAAACTTGATTTTGCCATTGTCTGAAAAACGACTATAGTTTGGACTTGGACATCTCTAAATTTAGGTGTTCTCGTGCAATAAAATATACATCAGTTGCTTGTGTAATAAATAATTTAAGCGTTGTACTTTTCTTGGATGCCAACCAGAAAAAAATCAAGTACCTTAAACAATCTAAGTGTTGCACTTTTCTTGACAAACCCAATCTGGTGAAATCATAAGCTAAATGTGAACTAAAGCGCATCAGCCACTGCATATGGTATGCTCCTCTAGACGTGAGGACAGCTGGCTGCTGTTGTGTATAAAATTTTGGGCACAATGACAGCTTACATGCTTGTGAATTACCATTAAGTTAAATGGCCCACTTTTGGGCACAATGACAGCTTACTCCTAATCCTTATATCTGAATTATGATAGATACATCTGTCAAGCATAATAAAGATAGTCCTAAAATTCACTGCTCTAATTGTTTGCAGTGCAGACTGCAGACCAATATCCTTCAGATCAGACCTTCACCTATCCAGTGTATGCAGACCAGTGTCATCGGATGCAATTAGCAAAAAAAGGTATTATTAGCTTAATAAGAATCACATTGGATGATCAATGCTTGAGGCCAAATACATGTGCAGAGCCTGGAACATTTTTTGGTTAACAATGATTTGTACTTCAGTTCAAGCATCAATATTGATAGTTGCACCTTTTTAAAAATGTGAATGTTGTTAAGCACCAAGAGGATTATATGGTACTTTGGTACGCTTTTGATTACTTGTAATTGTTTGCCATGCATGGCGGCGTTTTGTAAAGACCACATGTTTGTGAAACAATATCAATGTTGTGTTGTCTATTTGCTACCTTTCATAAGCCAATTGCTTGTTTGAATGTATTGAAATGTGCGCTTTCCTATTGAAGGGTGTTTTGATTTGGATGATAGCTGAGTGTGTGCGTCTTTTTATCATGCAGTATAGTCCTTTAATCGTTGCTAGCATGAAAAAACATTTATGTTTCTAGGCTTTGAGCTAGCAACTAATCTTTAGGATACTTTACACCGGTTCATATTGTTCAGCTTATGTGCTGCTATGGGTTTATGTGAACTTATTTAGGCTAATCTATATCCTCCATGTAAACTTTTGTAGCCAATATCTTCAACATGCATCCAGTGGAAAATAACGGTGGTCGCACTCCATTAGGAAACTTGAAAAACACCACCAATGCAGGTAACTGTTATACATATTTTGGATAAACAGTAATTTGCATTCATTATGTATTGGTCCACTTGAGGCTCCATGACAATTATAATGGACCAGGTTGTCAGAGTGTATCCAATTCACACACACAAGCTGGCGATGCTAAGCAACGCAAACAAGAAAGGGAAAGGGCACGGTATGCGGAACAAAGGAATGAAATAAATAGGAAGCGTCGTGAAAAATATCATATAAAAAAATAGAAAACTACGAGAGGTGACACAACAGCCAAAGTTAATCCAATCAATGTGCATTATCCTTTGGCTCTTATTTATGGTGTAATAATTATCTTGTAGCTGATGGAGTTGTATTAGACAATGAAGACACAAATAACGATGAAAATAGTGATGGGTTCCATAGGAACGATTCCTATCAACCCATGCAGATTGATAAAGAGAACCTAGGTACTATTTTTTCTATAAAGTTCCTCCATGGTTATGGTGTTGTTGCATAATAATAGATGTTTTGTAAATAAGTAAGATGTCGCTGTCTATATTTCCTAATATAATGCTAATATGTTATTATGTAGCTGCATCTGATTTTGCTAACACCATGAACCACCCTACGAAGAATGAGTCAAAAATTGTACGATAGGGAGCGCTATAAAAGTATGACGCTTGATCAGAGGCAAGCAAGGCGTGAGCATCAAAGGCTGCATAACAGTGAACCCAAGCGTAAGGAGGCCATGAAAATAGCTGGCAAAAAAATTAGAGAGATGCGGAAGCACATGCTACACCCAGAGTCCATTGCCATGGAGAACCCGTTATATATTTCATAGCCTGTGTGGCCCACCGTGGGAGCATCTGGAGCTCATGGATCCACAGTGAAATCCAATGATTGGTTTATCCCAGAGTCAAGTGCAACACCTTTTTATATTCCTCCACCTTATGAGGAGGGCGATGATGAAGGATGTGATGAGTTACTATCTGGCCATATGACAAAAAGATCACATGTTCCATCTGGACAAAGACATGCGTTGTTCACGCGTCGTAACACGATGTTTGAGCGTCGTATTGGTTCGAACACAAGGGCATCTAATAAAGATGGTGACTGCATGGCTGAAGACCGAGTGGATGCTAACACGCCCTTGCCTCAATCAGTCATGACCATCAATGGTAAATACTGTTGCCTCGTTATCCTATTTAGTTGATCTATATACCATATTATATCTAACCGATCCATGGTCATTTTGTGATAACAGATAGGGCATGACCCAACATTCAGGCTACATCAGCCACACCGATGGCACCATTGTTTGATGATTATGAATGCATGGGTGAAGAACACCTAAATAATAACACACCCTTGCCTCAATCAGTTCTAATCAACAATGGTAAATACTGATACCTCATGATCTCATTTAGGTGACCTATATTATATATCATATTATACCTACCTCAACCATGGTCATTACATGATTATCAGAAAGGATAGGACCTAGCCTTCAGCCTACATCAACCGCACCGACGACACCACTATTTGATGATAGTGGTAATTTACACTATTTTCTAACATTCTATAAACTATTTGAACTCTTTTGTTTATTTTTACCCATAGTTCTACTAACTCATGTATCTTTGACGGCCATAGATGATGATGAGGGAGATATATTTGAAGAGGATGAGCGATCTCTATTTGCTGGGCAAGGTATTTGTGCGAAAGATCGAATAGAAATCAAATCTTCTAGTGCTTTATCTAAACTATTGCAGCTTAAATGTTATTTTAGATGAGGAAGATGATGATGATGTCCAAGACAATGACCTTGAGGAAGACACTGCTTCTGTCCCTGAAGTACCTGACCTATATGATGAGGTGTATAGTAACATGGCTACTGATACCCATATGCTAAAACCTGTTGCAAATTGCGAGCACTACAATGCCAAAATGTTTGAGCATGAACGATGTGGGTTCTATTGTCGCAACGGAAAGATTGAGCTCAATGAACCGAGCGTACCTGACGAGCTTATGAGGCTTTGGTCAAGTAACGACGCAGATGCTAGGCACTTTTGTAACAGCATTAGGTTTTGCAATGGCCATTTCTCTTTCACTTCTCTATATTGTCGCCTCGATAGCGCTACTGCAAGCTGAAAAAACAGTGGCATATACACCTTTGGTGCACACGGCCAGATCTATCACAACATTAGGTCATTTGGAAGAGAAGATGGTAACGAGCCAAGACATCTGTTGACGGTAGTTAACATTCATCACAAACTGTCAATATAATTTATATAAATGGCTAAAATGGATCACCAACATAGACTTAGAGGTTTAAACTAATAAATTCTACGAGTTTTGGTGAATATGTGTTTCCAGCAAGATTTATTCAGAAAACCACCAAGGAGGACCTATTCGTCAAAGGAAATCACGGAATTCTACCGCGTAATCGATGTGGGAAGACTCTAGAAGACTCCAGGAGGCTCTCCACTGAAGCAGGACACATGTCTCTGACATGTGGGGCCGCCTGTCAGCCTCCTTGCTATGTTGGTTCTCCACCGCCTCCTAGTATGCATCTACACCGTTTATTCAAGTTGGTTTGATCCGAGGGCTCAGGATTGACGCTCTGGCCTATATATATCTGCTTGCACCCCCCTCCAGGGCATGCCTCATTTGATGCTGAGAGCCGAGAAGCCAGAAACCCTAATTCATATGTCCACCAGGATCATAGCTAGCAATCAAGAGAAGATTAGTCCTCGCTAGGATCTAGTCTTGTACTAGAGATAGTGAGATAGAGTGAGAGAGAAGAGTTTCAGAGGAGTCCCGGCCTGTCGGTGCTCTCTCTACGGCTTATACCCTGGTGGAATCAAGTTCTTCTTGAGCTTGCTTCTGAGATTTCTCTGGTAATCGACTTCTAATTCAAGTAAGCATCTTGTTCATATTGTTTTTCAGGTTTGCGACACTCTTTTGAGTACTTTAATCCTTATAGCTCCTGGGTTAAAGTAGTATTCATAGTGTAAGCGTGGTGGTTAGACTCGATTACTCGTGGATGTACCCTATTTTTTGGATCGGTGGTAGCTCGCGAGGGTGACTCTTATAGTCTCGTTGAATCCTTTGTAGTCCACCTCCAGTTAGTAGGCCTAGCAGGACATTGTTACTATAGGAAACATACTCTGCCTGTATTTTCTCTAGTAATATGCTCAGAATTGAACAATAGAAGACAAAGCTTACAGAAGTTAGAACTAGAAGACCTCTACGATCTCCTCTACGTTCCTATTATCTAGCCTTAATTGTGAAGTTGGGATAAGTTAGATTTGATTATTCTCACACACGTTTCCTCGAGTTTGATATAAAACTGGGTACTCCCAATAAAGTGCTACATCAGTATAATATCCGTACGCTTGTGGATTATTCTGTGTGTATTAATTTATACCAACAACATCTTGAGCTTTACTTCTACGACGATGATCCAAGCCTTGAGCACCGCTTTCAATGATGTCATGAAGAGAAGTGACAAAAAGACAAGGAAGTCATTGAGAGGCTTGTCGCCATCCTTCATGACAACCCATACTCACAACATCTTATGAGTGTGGGCCAGGCTGAACACCTTGAGGACTATCATGTTACACTAAACCTTGACCAAAGGCTGGACCAGAGAACATACAATGTGCCGTCAAATTTAGAGGTGGCTGCTGTTTGGATCGAGGGAAGCGAACTCTTTAGTCGGTTCCAAAATAGTGTTGTCCTTCATGGAAAAGATAGAAGTAGACATGGCATCCGCTCATATAATGGATGTTATGATGCTCT